TGACTCTTTTCATTGTGTTTTCCTGTTTTCCCAACTGTCTGCAGTGAGCATATGGTACTTTGCAGTTGCGGGGGGGGGGAAGCAATCATTATTTCTAAAGTAAGTGGCAATAATTCCAGTTTATACTCTAATGCAGGGATCCACAAACTATATCCTGCATGCCAAATCCAGCCTGCCACCCTGCCTGTGAGTTAAGAATGGTTTTACATTTTTATATCCTTGAAAAAAATAAAAAGCAGAATAATATTTATAATCTGTCATTCTAATCTTTGTATTCAATCTTTACAACAACCCTGTGAAGTTGGTACTATGGCCTGTTTTATAGATAAACGAACAGAAGCTCCAGGATTGGTCAGGTAAGTGGTCAAAGATCTCACAGTTACCAAGTCTTTGTGGAAATTCAAACCCAAGGAGTCTTACCCCAGACTTTACCTAAACTGCTCCTCCATGTGAAAAATCCACCACTGTGAGGGCCGATCTGCATAGGTGAATCTCAGGGTGAAAGACCACAGTGTTTCAGGGAAGCTTTGAGATTCAATCTTGTTTCTACCATGATGATATGCTGTGCTCAGGTGCTTCCTTCGTGTCCAACTCCTTGTGATGCTATGGATTGTAGCCTGCCAGGCTCCTCTGTCCATGGGATTCTCCAGGCAAGAATACTGGAGTGGGTTGACATGCCCTCCTCCAGGGAATCTTCCTGACCCTGGGATTGAATTCATGTCTCTTCTATTTCCTGCACTGACAGGCGGGGGTTCTTTAACCACTAATGCCACCTGGAAAGCTCATGATGATAGGAAACACAAACTCTGAACTTCGATCAACCAAAATGTCATCCTCCTGAAAAGAATTCCAGGGCGGAAAAAAAAAAAAAAAAAAAAAAATTCAAACACTTCTCTGGTGGCCGAATGTTACGAAAACACCTGCCAACACAGGGGGCACGGGTCTACTCCCTGATCCAGGAAGATCCCACATGCTGTGGAGCAGCTAAGCCCGTGCACAGCTACTAAGCCCACACTCCCAGAGCAGGTGGTCTGCAGCGAGAGAAGCCACCACGACAAGAAGCCTGTTCACTGCGGCAAAGAGGAGCCCTGCTCACCACAGCTCGAGAAAACCCTCGCGCAGCAGTGAAGACCCACCACAGACAAGACATTAAATAAACTAAAAAAGACCAATTTCCACTCTTTTCATCACTAGACCTGCACTGTAGAAAGCTGTACTCTTTTATTATTATTATTCTGTTTTGAATTTCATCAATAAAAAGTGGTGGAAATTTGTTTAGTCTCATTATGTAAGGGCATGGCAACCCCCTCCAGTATTCTCGCCTGGAGAATCCCCATGGACAGAGGGGCCTGGAGGGGGAGCTACAGTCCATGGGGTCACAAAGAGTTGGACATGACAGCGACAAAGCACACACACACCTGGAACCACAGAGTAACCAAGAGCCCTAACGGCTCTCTCTTTCAAGCCCTTCTACAGCTCTTTCTACTGCTATGTCTGTGTATATATATATATTTATCCATTATCTCCCATCAAGAGGCGCACTAAAAAAAGAAAGTAAAACTTAGTTTTTGGTTATTGCTTCTAGCAAAGATTTGTTCAAGGGAAGAGACTTGACGTTTATGTCATTTCTGAAGTTAATTAACTTATCAGTGTTTTTTTTTTTGTTACCAAAATAACTGAGAATTTGGCCCACCCTAAGTATGGGTTTGTTCATTCACTCACTTAACAAACCCTAAGCATAGCTTACAGATCAGAAGATATATATCAATACAACAAAACACATTTTATAATAGAAAGCAGTTTTAAATGACTACAGGAAATACAAATTAAAACCACAGTGAGACATCACCACACCCATTAAAGTATCTATAATCAAAAGGACAGATAGTACTAAGTATTGGCAAGGATGTGGAGAAAGCAAAACCCCCATACAGTGCTAGTTAGAATGTAAAACATAAAATGCAACAGTCATTTTGGAAAATGGCCTGGTGGTTTCTTTGAAAGTTAAACATATGACTCAAAAGTTCAACTCCTAAGTGTCTACCCAAAAGGAATGGAAACATGAATCCATACCAAGATTGGTATACAGATGATCACAGCAGTATTTTCATAATAGTTCTAAACTGGAAAGAACTCCAATGTCTATCAACTGGTAACTGGATAAACAAAATGTGGTATATCCACACAATGGAACACTACTTAGCAATAAAAAAAGGCCAACTATGATACACTCAACAACATGGATGAACTAAAAAACAGCATGCTGAGGGAGAGAAGCAAGTCTCAAAAGACTATATTGTATGTTTTTAAAAGATATTTCTAGAAAAGACAAACTATAGAGACAGAAGCAAATCAGTGGTTGCCCAGGACTGGGGTGAAAGCAAGGGCTATCTACAAACAGGCATAAGGGAACTTTGCAGGGTGATGGAAAGTTCTACAACTGAATTGCGGTTGTGATTGCAAACATGTATGGATTTACCAAAACTCATCATTACATTCATGGGTGGATTTATGGCATGCAAATGAGGGTTCAATAAAGCCGTTTAAAACAAAACTATAGGAGCAAGGGGGCAGCTATCTGCTTGAATTGGAAGAAAATGTAGGAAAGCTTCAGAAGAAAAAGTTTGAGGTAACATTCTGATAATTGACATTTAACTGAAAGAGATTTAACAGTGTGCAGAGGCTGGAACTGGAAGGTATGAAAACTTAAGTAGGATTTAGGGAAAGAAAAAAAAGAGGTGATACTAAAAGTTAGGCTACACTTAGGTAAGTGAGAAAATAGAAAGGTGTAAGGAGTTGGTACTTCGTTTCACAGGTCGTGGGAAGTCATTAGGGAAGCTGGGGTGGGGGGTGAGTGACTATCACATCTGAGTTTTAGAAAGCTAACTCTAAAGGAAATGTAAAAGGGAAAAAAGCAACAGGCAATGCCCAGGGAAAAGACATAGAACCAACTATTTAGTTTCTCATGAGGTGGTGGGAAAGAAGACAATTTCTAGATGTCACTAAAACAAATAAGGATGAGTGCTGAGTGCTTAGTCACTTCAGTCGTGTCCAACTCTTTGTGACCCCATGGACTGTAGCCCGCCAGGCATCTCTCTCCGTAAGATTCTCCAGGCAAGAATACTGGAGTGAGCTGCCATGCCCTCCTCCAGGGGATCTTCCCAACCCAGGGATCAACCTGTGTCTAGGTGCATCTCCTGCATTACAGGTGAAATCTTTACCACTGAGTCACCAGAGAAGCCCATGATAGGAGCAAAACCAGATTTGGGGGAAAGAGGTGACATAAATATTGTCTTAGGTTGATTGTGTGATGCTGTCAAGATATTCAAGTACAAATATCCAGCATACAAACAGGCAGAAATGGAAAGACTGGAGGTGATGCTGTGGCGTGGAGAAACCTTAGCAAAGAAATAGTCACTGAAACCACCGAGCTAAGATTCCTATGGACTCAGACAAACAGCAGGAAGTTATGGCTCAAAATCAAAGAGGCTAATTACAGAGAACTCCTTGGTGGGCCAGTGGTTAGGACTCAACACTTTCACCTTTGGCCAGCCTGGGTTTGATACCTGGTGGGGGGGGGAACCAAGATCCTCACAAGCATGAGGGCCAAGAAAAGGCTAATTATAGCATCTACTCTGTCCTCCTTGCAAAGACATTAAGAAAATGCTTTTCCTTCTCCTGTTTGTTTTTTTTTTTAAGGGTTAGAAACATTTATTTGTCAAAATATCTTCTAGAAATATGGGAAGAGTGGAGTAAAACAAGGCTAAGTTTCAGCTAATGCTGTACGACGACCATAGGTCAGACATAAAACAATCCAAACCCCAATGGTCCTAGCAATTTCAGAAGATTAGTTTCATTGTTAGAGTCCAGGGCTAACAGAAAAGTAAAAGGTTGCTTGCCCTCTCACAGTCATTTTAAAAGGACAGGAGAGGAGTTCCCTGGTGGTCCCCTTGGTTAGGACTAGGTGGTTCCCAGTGGTTAGGACACGGTGCGTTCACTGCTGGGGGGTCAATTCCATCCCTGGTCAGGGAACTAAGATTCCTACATGCCATGTGCAGGAGCCTAATGAAGAAAAAAAATTTTTTTATTTCAAATTTTAAATAAATAAAAATAAAGGGAAACGGACACGCTGCACGTAGACAGCGAGGAGAGTTTAACTCCTAAGGTAGAAAGCAAGATGAGAGGAATTCCACTGCACGGGAAAAAAGGGATGGCCAGCATCATCCTTATCCAGGGCAGCTCAGTGGCTGAGAATACACAGAATGGATCAACAGGCTATAGAGACTAGTATCAGGAAGAAAGAAAAGTCAACTTAGAAAAATTAAATTAAGAAAGAAAACACAGTCGGTCACAGACTCCTCTTTTTTAACCTAAACATGAAGGAATGGAACCATCTCAGCAAAAGGGGCCGTATGGAGCAAGTTCTCCTACAGGACCGCCCCCCGAAGGCTCGGTCGGCCATTGTCCTACCTCCAGTTTGTGAAAGACTGAGTACCACTCCTCGGTCCACATCCTGCTCCTGCTCCTGCCGGGCCACGTCATACCGAAAATTCCCCGCAGCTGGTGAAGCCGGGGACAGCGCACCTCCGGCCCATTACGAAGCCCTCTCCAGCTGTTGGGAGTAGAGCTGCGGCAGGAATGGGGCGGGGGATCCTGTCCCTTTCATAATAGAATCTAGTGGTGACAGCAGCAACAGTCATAGCAGCTGAGGTGGCAGTAGGGTTTGAGTTAAAAAAAGGGATGGCCAGCATCATCCTTATCCAGGGCAGCTCAGTGGCTGAGAATACACAGAATGGATCAACAGGCTATAGAGACTAGTATCAGGAGGAAAGAAAAGTCAACTTAGAAAAATTAAATTAAGAAAGAAAACACAGTTGGTCACAGACTCCTCTTTTTTAACCTAAACATGAAGGAATGGAACCATCTCAGCAAAAGGGGCCGTATGGAGCAAGTTCTCCTACAGCACCGCCCCCCGAAGGCTCAGTCGGCCATTGTCCTACCTCCAGTTTGTGAAAGGCTGAGTACCACTCCTCGGTCCACATCCTGCTCCTGCTCCTGCCCGGCCACGTCATACCGAAAATTCCCCGCAGCTGGTGAAGCCTGGGACAGCGCACCTCCGGCCCATTACGAAGCCCTCTCCAGCTGTTGGGAGCAGAGCTGCGGCAGGAATGGGGCGGGGGATCCTGTCCCTTTCATAATAGAATCTAGTGGTGACAGCAGCAACAGTCATAGCAGCTGAGGTGGCAGCAGGGTTTGAGTTTGGCTATGGGGGGCGGGGGTGGGGGTGGGGGTCTGTCCAGGGATCAACAGGAGTGGAGGGACTTCCCTGCTGGTGCAGTTGTAGGGGACACAGGTTCGATCCCTGGAGAAGCAACTGAGATCTCGCATGTGGTAGAGTCCAAACAAACAAAAACCCCTGGAGTTGAGGTGACTGGTCACAGCTGTGCTCTGGTCTTGAGGCACATGGGCCACGTAGCTGTGCAAGGAAGCTGCTGCCGCCACTGCCTACTGAAAAGCGGACTCTGTATGCGCTTAGCCTAGTTAGTAGCTGCGTGCTCCCGATGCATCCTCCTCATACATGGATTCCCTATAGCCCATGGGGTCCGCTCCATACTTCTTATTGTACTACTCAGTAACGTCGGCCATGACAACCCTTTGATCTCTTTTGACCAGTGATCCTCTTTTCCACAACCGATAGCAGCCACTCTGGTCTTCTCCCACACCAGGGGCGGTTGGAAGCTGGCTCGTGTACAATGCCACGCGCATTCATTTGCCTTGAAACTCTGTGAGTCAAGGTCCTCTGCCCGTTCCATGTGTAGGAAGGCATAATCTTTCACGATGTCACATTTCATTCCACCACTGGACCATACTCCTCCAACTTGACCCGAAGCTCTCGTTTGGTACAAATAGGACACATTATGCATACATGCAGCCTGGTTGACGCTTTGTTTCTATTCTTGAGGGCTTCCTCATTGATGTTCCCTCCCTGCAGCTTTTACTGGTGCAGGTTGCATATGGCACACTCAGCTGCATCTTTTTCTCTATGTGCACAACGAAGGTTTTGTTTGGTTGCTATAGTTTTGTTCTGTTGTTTTGGCGGGGCTTGCAGGATCTAAGTTCCCTGACCAGGGATGGAACCTGGCCCATGACGGTTTGCTGGCCCTCACTGACCTTCCTAACCACAGGACCCACCGCCAGAGCATTCCCAAAGACATAGTACTTAACAATGTCACATTCTAGCACCTTCCCATGCTGCTCAAAGAGTGGATCTCCTGCTCTTCCTCCCAGAGCAGGTTTCCGATGAAGAGCGTTACCACCCTGACAGGAGCCTCACGGATGCGGCAGTGGCGGCGGTTCCTTCCTCAGAGAAAACTCTACAAAATGGCGCCCGGCGCTGAGCCTCGGTGGTGCGACGTGCACGTCTTGTGCGCCAACTCACGTACGCGCATGCACCAGTGCGTGCTAGCGCCCCCACCCTTGCAGTAAACGTATTGCTGTTCTTCAGTTTGCACTTAGCAGACCGCCAACCGATTTTTGCAGTTAGAGATCACAAAACGAACAAGGCCAAAGATGATGCCCCAACTGAGGACAGATATATAGATTGGAGAGCAGAATGCTGAACATATCAGAGGCAATCTGGACCATATAGAATCTGCTATCTAGAAAGCAAGGTGCATGCTTTAGTTGTCTTTGGAACTCTCTAACTGTGGCTATGAGTACTAATTAATCTGCTCTTTGAAGTTAAGGGTAGGTAGGTCAGTCCATCTATTGCCCTAAGTTCATCTACACCAACAAAATGCATATCAGTTCTACTGTCTTGTTAATAATATATTGTGCAGGTTGGTACCTTGGAGATCTACTTGAACTTCCCAATGCTCCCAAATGGCTAACAGATGGAGAGGACAAAAAATTTCAAAAAAGATTGTTGAATACAGGATACTAGGAAATACAGACAAAAGAACAGTAGGCTAAATGCCAGAAGATCCAGATTCTATACTCTATTCTTCCACCATGGACAGGTTAATTATATTCTGTTTATGTACAAATGGGAATAGGATGCATAGATCAAAAATTGAAAATGTGTTTCATAACACATGGTAATACTGCTTGAAAGTTAGTCATTACTACACACAACCCCCTGTCTATTTAGGGGCCAAAGGAGTTAAAGTTGTGCTCTTTTATTTTAGGAGATGGGTGTCTTTGATGATAAAACTTGAAAATAATTTACAAGAAGTCATACCTAGAGGTGGACTACTGCAGTATAACAGATTCTCCTTCTACACATGACCTTTAATTCTGCTCACATCTAGCCTTTTGGGTAAGAGAACTTAGAACATGACATGAACTTAGAACATGAAGAACACTTCATTCCTCAGGCCCCCACCCACAGTGGATGTGGCCCTTCTCCAGCACTGAGTCACCCTCTTCCCCATGCCTTCTGCTTGGGTGGCAGCCCACCAAGCCTGAAACCCAGTTTTCTGGTGTCTCTACCTGGCCAGACAAAAAGTTCTCTGCATGCAGGGTAGAGCTCATTTGTCCCTGTCTTCTCAGCACGTGGCATCATGTAGGGTTCAAAAACTAATCCCCAACAGGAAACAGCGGGAAACAGCAGGAAATTAGGAGGAAAGATGCCAAATGGCACATATTAAAAATAATTTTTATACTATCCTATTTTTTAAAATAAAAATTGTATCTACTTGGGAATTCCCTGAGAGTCCAAAGGACAGGACTCTGCGCTTCCACTGTAGGAACCCATGTTCAATCCCTGGTTAGGGAACTCAGATCCCACACACACAAAAAAGACATATGGTGTATGAGGTGATGATTTGGGATACATATACATAGTGAAATGATTACTACAGTCAAGCTCATTAACATATTTCCTCTTGTGGTTACCTTTTTGTGTATGTGTGTGATGAAAGGAAAAATTAAATTTTAAAAGGCTCCTTTTAAAAATGCATTAAGCCATAGATAAGTGGATACACAGCATGTGGTACCTACATACAGTGAAATATTATCCAGCCTTCTAAAGTAAGGAAATTCTGACAGATGCTACCACATGGATGAAACTAGGAAGCATTATGCTTGGTGAAATAATCCAGACAAATTATTCCACTTATACAAGTAGCTTGAATAGTCAAATTCTAGAAACGGAAAGTAGAATGGTGGTGCAAGGGGATATGGGGGGGTTAGTGTTTAAGGGGTACACAGCTTCTGTTCGGGTTGACAAAAAAGTTCTGGAGATGACTAGTGGTGATGGTTACACAGCATTATGAAAGTACTTAATGCCACTGAACTATACACTTAAAAAAGGTTAAAATGTAGATTTTATGACACATATAACCACAATATTTTTAAGTTTCCTATGCAGTATTCTAAGGAAGGATACAGGACTGTGACCTTTGGCCCATTTTTAGATGCCTGTTTCTTCATAAGTTGCATTCTTAAATATCTAACTGATAGCAAAAGGAAGAAAACACATTTAGCATTCACACACCTCAATGTCCAAAGGTCCAAAGTCATTAATCTGGAAAAATACCACAAAATTCATGAAACTGATTCAAAATTTACTTCTAAACTGTGAGAGCAAAAAAACAAGTGTGATTTTAATTCGGTTTTCTGGGCATGCAAGTGTTGTCTTGGTTGACTTGTTATTTTAATTATTGGTGATCACTGGCTACCAGTACTAACCTCACTGCCAGAAAGATAAACATTTAAGCAATTAAAACATTCAAAACCGGAACTAGCAGAGAAAAAGTTTATGTTTCTAACATTTTCCTTTTAGCATCAATTGTGATTCATATATCAAAAGACTAACCTTTTAAAAGGAGAGGAATTAGCTTTCATATTTGACTATTTTGGTAACCAGCTGTATAGAAAACTATCTCCCTTTCCCCACCCCCAGACAGAGAAATTTGTTGAGCTTGAGATTTCTAGATTATAATGCTGAAGTTCTTATGCAAGTAAAACCTCCCAAAGATGTTAGATGTCTTGTCAAGGTAAAAACAGGAAGATTTCTTCCTTTGATATCTGTCAAGAAAATATAAAGCTATGGTTATTACTTTCTTTAAAAAGTTCTTTTCCCTTTAAAGAAAAGTGTGTTTATTCCAATGGTGGTTTAACAAATAATCACAGGTCCTCAGCAAGCCTTCAAAACGAGTGATCAGAATGTAAGAAGCTGACAGACTCCAAATTAAACCGACACTACCCAATCTAAGGTGTCAAAAGGTGTGTATTAGTATCGTCCAAAGCAAGCCTTTGGGGGTCACTTTTAACTTCTTCAGACACCAAGTCTTTCCAAAATCAAACATGGCAGCGGAGAAAAGGCAAGAGAAGGGGCCTTGCTATGTCAATGTGGACATTCCTTAGGAGGTCAGTGCAAATCAAAAAAATACAACCAAATGGTTTTAATCGTGTGGGTGACAAGGCACAGGTGTCAGGCGGGAAAGAGCGAAGAGATAAAAGTATTAAGAGCTTAAAAGAGGTGATGCACCCACCTTTGCAGTTCAGTAAACACAGACTAATGGTAATTTTTGTCTTTGGGTGGTGAGACAGGACTGCACCAGAAGATCTTATCCCTTGGGAAGGACAAGAATCACAGAGTCACAAAAAAGGGGAGAATGATCCCGTGGCTCTAGACAGATCCAGCGGAAGGAAAAAACAGGTAACGTGAAGATGTAAATAAAGCATGCAGGAAGCACCTACAAAGGGCAGCTTCCTGGGTTCTGGAGAAGCCTGGTACCCTCTTACGCATGTTGGGGTGCCCTCCCCCATACTAGAAGCATCTGGTTCTAGAAGAGAAAATGACTTCAATATGGGTGGAAGAACCACAGACAGACACATAGTCAGGGACACACGAAGACCAAGGTGATAAAAAGAAAATACCCAGGTTAAGCCCATAAATCATTTTCAATAAGCCGTTCCAGAAAAGCACTGTGGTGAGATAGGTAAGTCCTGGGGATGTGACATACTGGCATGGAGAGTGTGGGTAACAATACGCTATTATACATTAGAAAGTTACTAAGACAGTAGATCTTAAAAGTTCTCATAAGAAAAAAAAACCTAAAAAAACAAAAACAGCCATGTGTTTTCGGATCCCAGGTGAAAATTTCAGAAAATAGACACCTTCAAAGAAAGGAGACTTCTCTCTGTGGTTTTGAAGACAGAGTTTCACATCCACCGATCCAAAGACCCAGAAAGACTTATTGTGCTGGGCAATTGGGGTGTGCAAGCTTTGAGACTAACACAAATAATCAAGTCTCCTTTAGAGATCCTGAAGTATCTTTTTAAGAGATTCTATGCTTCTATTCCTCCTAGTTTGTTTTTTATAAAATCTTAATTGGAAACGAACTTGTTTCTTTACCAAAGACTCCAATTCTATTATACCCTTCTTAAACTTGCTCATTTTTTCTCCATTTTATTTTTTTGGAACTCAGAAGAATTTCCTCCTTCTCTAAGTTGAAAAGTCTCCAGAAAAAGGATTGGTTGTGCCCTAGTTTTAGAAGGTGATGAAAAGGCAAGTCGCTAAAGCAACGTGGAGAAAACTACTACTTGTGGCCTCGGGGAGGAGAGAAAAAAAAAAAAAAAAAGAATCAGTCAAACAAAGATACCTGAAGTCTGATTGGAAATTCTGGGGCAATCCAAGCCTTAGCTCCAAATGCCTAAACAATAGCCTCTATTTATGCACAGTTCGAAAGGACTCATTGCATCAGAAGGTACCTTGTGAATAAGAGTGCAGCTAATTCTCCCAGCAGCAGAAATCCACTCCCGTGAATAACAAAGCTTCACTCTGTTATTCATAATAAGGATTAAGCTCAGTGGGATAAAATACACAGTTGCCAGGTCATCTTTGCATAGGGCTGAGTGTGGAAAACCAGGTTCCCATTTCTTCTCCACTGAAGCCTGGTGGTTGGTACAGAAACCAGTTCTTTTTTTTTTTTAGAAACCAGTTCTTTAAATGTTCTGTGACAATTTCTTTTGCTGTTTAAGGAGAAATCAGTTAACAGAGAAAGTGCTTTGAGAAAAAATTGAAGGGCACTAAGTCGATATTACTACTGTCCTCAGCCCCGTGTCACTACTGTGAGCACAGACCTCCAAAGGAACACACTGTTACCTAAAACTAAAAGATCCCACAGTCCATCCCCTCACCTACAAGGCTGCCTCTAAAGCATCAAGGGCCTGGTCCCCTATCTGTTTCACACCTAGGTTTTCCTTCTTGTTCCCTCTTCCTGCCCTGACCCCTGTGTTTCAGCAAAAACTATATGCTGACACCTTGTGCACACATGACTTAGAGCTTCCCACTTAACAACTTTCTTTGCCAAAATCTATATTCATCCTTCAAGGCTTGCTTTAAAAGGGCTTTCCCATGACCCCAACCCAGTGG